TCTGTAATTTACAATTCCTGGGCAAATCAGCATATCTCTAATTGGAAGTAAACAGGGTCAGGGGACGGAGTTACTTTGAAAGTGATACGTTGTTTAATTGACAAGGCGAAATTTTAGGTTTCAAGTTTGCATATTGCACTTTTGTAGCTTTTGGGTTTGGCTCTTTTTTTTTTCCTTTTTTTCTTTTTTCTTTTTTTTTTTTGGTCAAGGGAAGACCTTTGTCAAGCAGACACGGCTTTCTAACAGAGCAGGGGGGCTTTCCTGAGCAGTACATTTTGTACGTATTTACAGTTCTCTGGAAATAAGGCTGTAATCTGTGCAGCTCTAAACATACGAATGTAAACATTCATCTCAGAACAACTTCAGTAAGCAGATTTTTCATGACCATCGTAATTTCAGCAGAGCGGTTAAGTATGCAATGCACCTTTTGCAACTGGCAGTTTAAAGTGATGTGTGTGCGTGTGCGTGTGCATGCGGGGGGAAGGGTAACTCCGCTGCGAGGCAATTGTTTACTCTTTCTAAATATATTTGGCTGCAGGTATTCTTAGACTAGGCCTTTTACAATGAGAGGAAAACTACGGTGTGGATATAGTAAACAGAGCTGAAATCAGTCAGTGACTGCTTGGAATATTTAGAGACACGAGGGGTTGGGAGAGGGCATCACAAAAGGCAGGAATTAAAAAATTGGAACCCAGGCGGTGGATTGCCACCAGAAATGTTGACTTTGAGTCACACAGTAAACATTACATTGTTGCTTTGTTTTCCTTTTTTGATTTACGATAAATTATTCTCCCGGGATTGATCGATGAGTGGAATCCTTAAAATTTAATTTGGGGATGATCTAGTATAAATAAAATGCTAATCCAAAGAAAGAAACCAGCAATTATTCATCCTAAACTCTGCTGATTCAGCAACTCAATTATAACTGCCTTTCTCAAGCTGCAAACTTTTCAGGCTGTTTTCAGAGTTGCTGTACCCGTCCTCCCCCCGCAAGAGAGACCTTCCCCCGTCCTCAGCTCTGCCTCCACCTCGGCCTCCAGCCTTTCTCCT